CCTGATAAAACAGTGCTGGTAAATATGATTCCACTGAATCTGGATCTTGCATGTTTTCAAAATTCTTTCATAACATTTAGTGTTTTTATGAGTGACATAGGGACAGGCACAGATATTTTCCAACCAGATTAGGCTATCTTGGTCACTAGGCACTGGATGGGGCAGGGAGGTTTCATGTTTTGGGTTAAATGCACCCTTCTGTAAATAAGACAATACAGGTGCTGTATAAGACCCCTTCAGAATAAGGCTCACCTAGATGTGAAAAATAAGTCAGCCCCATGTCCCAGCTCCAGGCTCAGGGTACCAACACCAGCCTGCTAAAACAATGCTGGTAAATATGATTCCACTGAGTCTGGATCTTACATGTTTTCAAAACTCTTTCATAACATTCAGTGTTTTCATGAGTGTTATGGGGACAGGCACATATATTTTCCAACCAGACAGGGCTATCTTTGTCACCAGGCACTGGATGGGGCAGAGAGGTTTCTGACTTTTTACACAGCTGATCTTTTCTTCCACTGACGATTTGTGTGAGTTCTTCTTAATTCTGAAAAACCAAGGAATGACAAATCTTGTGTTGGTTTGGATGACAGGAACCTCCTCTGTCATCAAGGCCATTCTCCACCTAAAGTGGGCATCAAACAGTAATACCTGTAATACAAGTAATACCTTAGGAGTTACCAAAACTCACAATTTAAAGGCTAAGCTCCACCCCTGGTAATGTGACCAGTCTTGCCCAAATCCATTCCTTTCTATCCCAAAAGTCTAACTGCTTCTTCTAGCTCTTCCAAGCATTTATTCTTCCATTACCACAACACCTGAGTACTTTTAAAATAAAATCCACTGCAAAAGTGAAGTTTCTACTCATCTTTTTGGCCTCACTCAGAATTCTTTCCTTTGAGATCTGGGGTCAGATAGTAGAATGAGTTTGAAAGGATTTTTCTTAAATTTAGTCTATGAATTTCTCGCTTTTTTTATTCTCAAGTGATATTCTTCACCCCCCTGCAATCCAATCACCCCCATTTTTTATCTGACATTGTGTTTTAAAGCAAAATCACTAAATATGGGTATATGTAAACAACAGCAAATTGGAACTCAGTAGCAAAAGCCACATTCAAGAAATTGGATGGAAAAAAATAACCAAACAAATTCTTTAAGTACATTAAATGAGGCTGATGTTTAAAGTAGGTGGTAAAAATAATTTTGTATTTGAAAGACTGGGTTTTAATCCTCTTTTTTAGGAGGCTGAAAAAAATACTAGTCATGTTGTTGATGCAGGAGCAAAAGCAATGCCAGGAAGCACAAACATCAATTCTGGTAAGTATCGGCCAAAGCAAAATTATACTTGCACGGAAATCTGGGAACCATGTCTATTTAAGTGACAAACAACTGGGGCACTTCTGCACATTTCCCATAGAGGAACTAATGAATTACCCATTCACCCAATCAGCTCCAGGCTTTATGCGGACTAACATTTTATGTGGAAAATACTAACAAACACATTAGTGCAAAGTCTAAAAAAAGAAATCAGGGGACTATCAGCCTGATGGAAAATAGCTTATGATTATTAAAGCAAATACAAATATTTCTATATCAATTATTTCCCATAATTAAATGAGACTGAGAAAACAGACTAGGTTAGGAAGAAAAACTCCAGGTGGGGAAGGTGGGGATCATGGGAGAGTGGGATAGGTATCCTGTTTGGAAAAGTCTGAGTCCTTTTAGGGCTTGTGTCCCTGCTTGCTCTCTGCACTATGCATGGGTTTTGGCCCAGTAAGGAGAGACAGGTGAGTGGGTGGTGTCTCCAACCCTTGCCTGGGCTATCAAGGCATTGTTGGGTTTCATTTTCACTCATGTGGTGTGCTGTGTAGCTTACAGCTCTGATTCATGATTGCTACAGGATTTTGCTCAGGAACCTGAGAGGTTCCCACTTCCAAGGGGAAGTGACCTCATGTGGAGCAGCTGGTTTGCAAATGAAAACCTCTTTATTTCGTGTGTGTAGTGCTCTTCCCCTCAACTGGGGAAAACACCATGGAGCCTAGAGTGAGAAAAATTAGCAAAATAATGAGAAGTTTATTTTATGCTGTCTTGAAAACATTTTGAAATTCTAATTATTGATTCAAATTTAGATCTACAATGTTTAAAATACATTTAAATCTCTGGACTGTTGAAGTATCTAACGTTAAACACATTGACCTATATTTCTCACCCACTGCTATCAAGATTATAGCTGATTCAGTAGTTAGACCTTTGTCTTACCTTTTTAATCCATTCATTTCACTAAAACATTATTTTCTCATCCTGACAATCTACTTATGTATTTGATGCTCGAAGCTGAGGATAATCTGTTTAGATTAATACTAAATTAATCACAATCTTGAATGTTTCCTAGAAAGTTAGATGTATGCGATACACAAAAGCAGACCTGACACACCTGAGGAGCACTCACTTAGGTTTGGGCCCATGTGGCGCCTCCAGCTCTTCTCTGTTTACCATATTAACCAACAACCCAAACTGCATCTGGTTGAGCTCAAATCTGTCCTGGGATTCTGATAAAATGGCAACTACTGTACCAAGTCTTGGCTATAGTGCCATTTTGCAGACACTATTTAAAAAAAATTAAAATTTAATCAAACTCTGATTTTCTTCTGGAAGGACTTTACTGATATGACTTTTATTAGCTGTTAACAAAAACAAGTCAAGCAGGTTTGACACGGGTTTAAATTGTGCGTTACTTAGAAAGGTGACTTCTGTCAAGATACTACTGGAAACTTACCTGGAGAATATACTGCAATTTTGATTTGTGTCACTTTCTGTTGATCTTATTGGAGCTTATTGTGCAATCTGGATTCTAATAGTGAGGAAGGCAGACAATATCAAACCAAGCTAGAAAAGGTGTAAGATTTTCTATAAACAGAAACTGAAATTAGGTGAGAAAAACCAAGACCAACCAGAAACATTCTGAGAAGGAAAGAAGAAAGGTATTCTTCAAGGTATGATAATCCATGAGGGCCAAAACCAATCCAGACATACACTGTTATTTGGTATTTGGACTTTTTTATTGCCTTATTTATGGTAGGAGTTACTTATCTATTAAGCACTGACTGTTTGGCAGCACCATTTCAAAAACACTGTCAAGACCCCATATCAGCAGTGCCTAGAAATGGCAATGAATAATTGTTCCAGGGTGGCAAGAGGACAGCCAAAAGCCCACAAAAGCTCCAAAATCTTATACTGGCTTTTTTTCTGTGGTCTCACCCAGTCTGCTAACCTCTCTGAGATAATTTTCATCCATTCACTCAGATGTGAATCAGGAGAGTGCAGGAGTTAAGGGCAGTGTGAGGGGAAATCATCCTGTAAGTTGAAAACATGTCCCAGCTGGTCATGAGCTGTCATTTATCCTGGGAAAGGGACTCAGCCAGGGACTGCACTGTCTATCCCCACACACAACAAAATGCTTCATCCTCCCTCAGCCCAGGAACTCACACAGCAGCTCAGGGAGAAATTTGGGATGAAATTTGGGATGGAAGTCCTGTTAAAGCCAAATTGCCATCACCTGCTGATAGGGAGATCAACTGGAAAGCAAAATAAAATTATGCACAGAGTTATGGGGAAACTGTACTAGTTTTATCAGCAGGGTAACCATCAGAGCTGCTCTCTGTTGGTTTTTGTGGTGAAAAGGTTATAATTTAAGCACACTTGACAGGTACACACAACCAAGTGGAAAGCTTTTATTCAGTAAATACTTATTTTTAGTCACATAAGAATGTTGACTTTACTGTAGGCATTGCACTGCATAAACAGAATGTGTCTGTTTAAACTGTGTTGGAGACACAACTGTGAAGAAAAAGGTCTACAAGTGAAAAGAATCAACAGTTGCCAGCAGCAAAAGGGCACAAACATGAGGAATAAAAAAAAATATTATGTCTTGTTCCTTGGAGGTTACTACAAGTTACTTCCAGTAATTAAAACCAACTCTGAACTCCACAGTGTTGACAACAGGATGAGATGCTGCTTTCCAGGCAGAGGTAGAATTAATTATGCTGTGCTAGATTGCCTTTATTGACTTGTGCCATGTTGTCTAGCATGACCCTGTTGGAGCAGGGAGGTTAGATGACAGCGAGGGGCACACTGCACTAGAGCTGAGCCCATTCAAACACACGGAATTTCAGGACAAGAAAGAGAACTGCAGTGCTTTTCCTGCTCCCAGGTACCCATTTTGTGATCCTGTGCTGCTGTGACTTCTGCTTTTTACTCCCACTAGTCAAAAAGTCATCACCAAAAAACAAAACAAAACAAAACAAAAACAAACAAACAAACAAAAAAACCCCAAACAAACAAAAAAACAAAACAAAAAAAAAACAGCAGGTAAGTGAAATTATTGAAATTACTGAAATCTAGCCCTAACCTGTAAAGTCACTTTACAGGGCATCTGTATATGCTGTGGAGGGCAGCAAAACTAACCACACAGAAAAGGTCAGCTTGGAGAGGACCACAGCTACTCAAGCAGCATCATCCTACTGGTCCAACCTCCCTGCTCAAGCAGCATCATCCTGGAACACACGGCACAGGATTGCGTCCAGACGGATCTCCAATATCTCACATGAGGGAGACTCCACAACCTCTCTGGGCAATCTGTTCCAGTGCACGGTCACTGCACAGCAAAGAAGTTTTCCTCATGTTCAGCTGGAACTTCCTGCGCAGCAGTTTCTGCCTCCATCAGTTGTCTCATGTCACACTGCTTGGCACCACCGAGAAGAGCCTGGAAACGTCCCCTTGGCACCCCCTCTTTAGATATTTACAGACATTAATGAGGGCCCGTCTTCTCAAGGCCGAGCATGCTCTGCGCACTTTTTAGAGAGCTCAACCCGGGTTAATATTTTAATTATAATTTTTATTATTTACTATTGTTCTACTTTTCCACATCACGTTCGGGAAAGCGGGAAACCTTTTCCGCTCCCTCCCTGCGCGCAGCTCCCGCCCCGCCGGGCGGTGCCACGGGCGGAGGCGGCGCCTCGCCCCGACACCGACACGCCAAGATGGCGGCGCCCGCGGCCCGGCGGGGGAGCTGAGGGAGGGCGCGCGCAGGTAACTGTCCCCCCGCCCGGCCCCCGTCCGCCGGAGCCGCGCTAATCCCGCCGCCCGCGCCTGCCCAGGGCCCGCTCCTCTGGGCTTCTTGCCCGCGCCCAGCCGGCTCTCCCGGCGGTCCTGTGCCCATGGAGGTCCCCCCCTCCTCCGGCCTCCCTCTGTCACCGCTGCCCCGCTCTCTCTGTCCCGCCCGTGGAGCCGCCTGCTCCCCGTGCAAGCTTCTCCAGCGGCGGGACACCCCCCATCCCCCGGGGCTGAGTGGAATGTGCTGGGCCTCGTCAGGCAGTTTCCAGGACTTGAATTCAGTCTCCCGTGTGCTTACTACATCTTTCCAAATGTTTTCTGTGCCAGAGAGGTTTACATTGAGTATCAGGAAAAGGTTCTTCCCTTCGAGGGTAGTTGGGCACTGAACAGTCCCCCCAGGGAAGTGGTCACAGCAAAGCCTGACAGAGTTCAAGAAGTTCCTGGAAAATGCTCCTGAGCACATGGTGGGGCTCTTGGAGTGAGCTGTGTAGGGCCAGGAGTTGGAGTCAGCGATCCTTGTGCGTCCCTTGTAGTTCAGGACAGTTGATTTATTTCTCTGTCAGACCAGCCCCTTCCTCCTCGCTTGGCACACCTGCCCGAGTAAGATGGTTTTAGGCTCATAACCTGCTCCTTGAAAGAATCCCACAGCACTGGGCTGGAGTGCCCTTAAGTGGGGCAGGGAGAGGCTCTCTTCTGTCCTAGTCCCATGGACAGGAAAAACAGCTTAGTGCCGTGCTTTTTGGATTTGATTATCTTCTGTGCCATGCATCCTGGCTTGGCCCAACACACTGCTGGCTCACCATTGCGTCTTGTGCATGATGGTACCTGGGAGCAGGAAGGACACTGCAGTTCTCTTTCTCATCCGGAAATTCCATGTGTTGGAATGAGCTTAGCGCTAGTGCTGTGTGCCCTTGGCTGTGGCTGTTTTCTCACTCCCACCCACTGCTCTGACCCCTGCTTGGGTGACCTGTAAGGCCTGAGGTCACCCAAATGTGCCCTCTCAGGCATGACATCAGCTGGTGGGCTTCCTTGAGCTGTGCGCAGGCACAGAGTCTCTGTTCTTTCTGTCTCAGAATCACAGAATCAATTAGGTTGGAAAAGACCCCTGAGATGGCAGAGTCCAAGCCATGACCAAACACCACCCTTTCAACCAGGCCTTGGCACTGAGTGTCATGTCCAGTCATTCCTTAAACACTCCCAGGGGATGATGACTCCACCACCTCCCTGGGCAGCCTGTTCCAATATCTAATCACCCCTTCTGGGAGGAAATTCTTCCTTACATCCAACATAAACCTCCCCATGTGCAGCTTGAGACTGTCCTCTCATCCACTGGTCTCCCCTTCATGTGTAGCTCCTGGATTTGAAAATACTTGCTTTGTAAATGACCAGTGATGAAATTGGCTTGCGTAAGGAAACTCTCTGTTGTAAAACAAATCAATAGAAATAAGACTTAAGTAATAAGGAAATAATTAGTAAAAATAAGCAAAAAACTTTGAAGTACTGAAATGCTAATTTTGAGATGAGTGTGATGTTATGGAGGGGGGAAGTTGGAGTCTCCTGAGTGACTCATGTGCGCCTGAACTGGGAATCCTGAGCACAGTCCTGGATTTGTTTTTATTACAAATGAGAGAGATTTATGGAGGGTAGCAACAAGAAATCCAAAGCACTGATGTGGCATAAGTGGAAAAGTGTTTATAAGACCCTACTGGATAAGAGAGAAAAGGAGCAATTCTATAGATAGGTAATGAGACAGGCAGTGAGGGTTTGTGTATGCATGTATGGTGACTGTTAAAGGAAGCATAACTCCCACTAGCTTGCTGGGGATCTAATTTAGGTGCTATTATTTCTACTGGTAATGTTCCTACCTTATGGGAAATGCATAAGTAAAATCTTTTCTTATGCAGAGTTTCTCTATACTGGGATTTTACTGATGTAGTTCTGCAAGGAAAATTCTGAACTGGCTGAAAAAAGCTAGTTTGGTACAAGTGTATTGGGCAAAATTTAAAAAAAAAACCAACACCAAAACCAGCCATAGGAAATACTGATGTAAAAATGCCATTAAAACCAAAACGGCAGTCAAGATGAGGAAATCTCAGAGTAGAGGTTCTTTTATTGCCGTATTTCCTAGTGTAGGAAGTAAAATCAGCAAATATCTTGTTGAGACTGATCCCAAATACGGGAACTGTTTGATCTTTCTCCCATCTGAGTAGCTTTAGAGGACTCTCTCTAAAGGATTTGAGGAGTTAACCAGGTTTTTCGTTAAAAAAGAAAGCCTTAGCAAAATAGTTGGTTTAGAATATCTGGTTGAAATCTACTAATTATAGTCATCCTCCCCCATCTCTTTTCAGTGATGACAAATTCAGTATTTTTGCAGTATAATTTCATCCAACTTCCTCTTCTCTCTGTTTCATTCTGAATTTTTACTAACACCCTGTTAGCCATCTTCTCTTCAGGCAATGGAGCTTCTGGAACCTTCAATTGGCTGATTATGCCTTTATGGGAGACTGAATGCAAGAATTTTATTTTATTAGATAAGGCATCTAACACAATAGGTTTTGTTCTGTGCGAGGCCACAGTTAGTTCTCTTGACTAAAAAATACATACTTTTATAATTCAGACACAGAAATAAAATGCAAGTTCCATGAAAAGCAGCTGAGTAGTCTAAGTCAAGCTAAAATAGTTTAATAGCTACCACTTTTCAGTATAATCATAATAATAATTGAGTTCTTGTTATGTATTGTGGCATGAAATACATATTTTTGTCATTTCAGATACCATAACCTTAAGAATGCAGTCGGTTTATCACAGAGTTGGCCCGTGTTCCTCATGTGTGAAGAGACAACTAAATGGCTTTCTGGGATTAAATAAATGGCAGAGAAGAGTGGTTCCTGCTTGTGTGAGAACGATTTACAGTGAGACGGGGAAATGGGAAAAAAACTATGGGTTGGAGACAAGAAAACGAGTTGAAAATTGGTGGTTCCCAAGAATAAAGGATCAGTTCTGCAGAATTTCAGAAACTGATGTAAGCATTATGAAAAATGTGGAGATTACATGTTTATATTTTTGTTTTCTTAGAATGAAATTAATTGAAACTTACTTAGTACAGATGGCTTATAATGATTAGATGTGCATTACATTTCAGGGGAAAATACTTTCATGTAGATTATTAAAAACCATTAATGAAATAAGTAAACAAAAATACTTTTAAAGGTCCTGAGGAAAAATACAGTAATAGGCAAAGTATAAACTTGTAAATTTAGGAAGGCTTTAAGTAATCAATTCTTTCTTTGCATCTTATACAATATTTGGCACTTAATTATTTAAAGTATTAAAAGAAACATCGAATTGTAACTTTTGTAAACAATTTTCTCAAGGTTCTGTTCCCCATGTTATGACAAATCTATTACACTACACTAAAATCTGTGTTAAGGGAAGATGATTTTTTACTATTTTCTGGTTTACAGTCTCATAGGAATAGTAAGTGACTTAAAGAAAAAAACAGTTTTCCCATGCAATAAAAGATCTTGAAAACAGCTGTATCGCAGTCTCTGACTCTTTTTGCCTTCACAATTATTCTGTCACAATAGATAAAAAACACTTCTGTGGCTCTTTATGGTTTTTTGTTAATCTCCCTTAAAATTTGCCTTTTCTCTGACAAAAAAAAATAATTCTATCAAAATGTTGAAGTGAGAAAAGAGCTTGCTTTTTCTGGGGAAGAAAACTGAAATGATGTGCATGTATATCTGTAGCAGGGAAAGCATTCATTAGGACTTGTGCCTTTTATATGCATATGTACATAGGAGTCATATGTAGCATATGCTAAGTTCTAAATTGTATTTTTAGTGATATTTTTGTTTTATCCTTACAGTTGAAGTAGATTTAATAGCATATTAAGAGGCAAATAGTGTGTAGTGCTGCAGTGAAGTACTCAGATTATTTCTGATTTTGCTGTGATTGAACAAAAGTGATAAGGAAATATTGTTTGACAAATACTAATAGAGTTTTATTCAGAACAGTGAAAGCTGAAAGCTGCCTGTATTTTTTTTATTATTAACAATAAAAATAATATAAGAGCTTAACAAGTATCAGTGGTTCTTGATACTGTCAATGTATCAGTGATGAATTCAGTGGTAATCAAGATGTATAAGGAATAATTGATGTGCAAGAGGATTTCTGATTTCTTTGTAACTTTTGTCATTTTAATTAAACCTAAGTAAATGAAATTTTTCGTTTCCTTTCATTATGCAAAATCCTGCTTGTAAGATGTGTTTGGATCTGAGCATACATAGTGAAACTGAACAGTTTCCCTTTAGCAGATGTTCATGCAATTGCAAATGATGTAGTCACTCTGGGAGGTTCTGCAGTTCAGATGATGGAAAACAACTGGCCAGGAGTGAGCTCAGTGTTTATTGTAGATGCAAAGTAAAACATTAATTATTTAAACTGTTATGAGAGCAATTTAATCTGCTATGTTTTCATGTTTTTGTTGGGGCAGACTAAGAACACATAGATAATCAGTTGCAGATGCTACAGTGGCAATGCTGCTTTGTTAAGCTTCAGTTCTGTCAATATAGCTTTTTTGAGTAAAGGTTAATTAATTTTCATAACATTTAAGTGCCATGGAATTTTCAGTATAAATTGACGAGATGGCAGCAAAGTCTGGTAAAAAACCTCCATTTACAGCCCCAAAGAATTTGATCCAATGAACATTGTCAGTGCTCACTTGGATCAGTTCCAGCAGAACCGTGTTTCTTTATGGTGTCATGTAGTAGTTTATAATGTGCACGTGTACTTGTTCAAGTGAAATGCTAACTCATGTAGTTACTAGTTTCTAAAAATTTCTTTCTAGAAATCAAGACCAAAATTTTATGTGCTTTCTATGTTCCCATATCCTTCTGGGAAGCTTCACATGGGCCATGTTCGTGTCTACACCATCAGTGATGCAGTAGCTCGGTTCCAGAAAATGAGAGGGATGCAGGTAAGAATAGATCAGTGGTAGGACTGGGTGGGGGTTTTGTATATTTTAATATCATAATTGATCAGGAAATTAGTATTTTACAAAATCCGTGAAAGTGGAGTATGTGCTACAGGTGTGTGGATAATGACCCCTGAAGCTTTGAATATTGAAATTTGAGAGTTTTATTAAAGCCAGTGGTGTTCAGAGCTCGCTGTCAGAGTGGTTAGAAGCTGCCTCAGATGGATAACAGCTGTTGATGTATGAGGTGTCTGATTGTAATGATGTGTGGCACAGTGTCACTGAGACCTCTGGGCCACACAGTTTCTGTGAGAAGAGGCTGAAAACCCTCCTGCCAACTGGGTGGGACCAGGAGGAGGAAAATATGTGCCTGGCAAGAGAAAATAGGTACCACCAAAATCAGCTGCTTTCACTTCTGCTCCTGAGAACATGTCATTTGTCATTTGTCAGACACAGAGGGACAGCCTGTGTGCCTGCTGGGAGAGAAACCTCTTTTTTTTGTGACTGCTGCAAGTCAGACGAACAGGATCATGCCACACGTTACATCATGTGTGTGTAGCTGAAAGTTTCTGTTCTGTAGCATCTGACCCCTTGGCTTGCCTCTTGTTCCTATATACGTAAAATGTCTTCTGAGGGTGCAGGCCTACGAGGTAGGCTAAGTCTAACTTTCTTGCTACATCTGCAAGGAGAAATCCCATTTTCCCTTCCACATTTCTCTGTTTCCCTGTCTCCCACACGCCTGCCATAACTTTTCCTCACTCCCTTCTGTATCTCCATTAGGTTGAAGGGGTAGCTGAGAGCCTTGTCCCTGCAGTCTGCAGTGGGATCCTGGCTGGCATTTTGCTGTAAAGGCTGGCAAGGATAAAATTTGAAAGATGTAAGTAAGGTGTAGGAGAGCTGTGGCCTGAGTGACAGCCATATTACAGAGGAAAGACATTTGGTAGAGGGAAAATATGAAGAAGCTGGGAAAACAGGAAGGAGGAATATGGAAAGAGAAGGGAACAAAAAGAGAAAAATAGTATAGACAAGGAACTAGGAGGACAGGAAGGAGTCTTTCTATTGTTCAATAGAGAAGGAGCAGCTCAAGAATACAGGTATCAACCTCAAAAAAGTACTAAGAAGACAAAATTGAGGAAGAATTGTTAGTTGCTGGTTATGGTACTAAGTGCAATTTCCTTGCTACAAATGCTGAAGTGTAGCATTTCCTGGATTTATCACCATCCGTGAGACTCTGATAGGTATCGCCACTGCATTATTCAGCGTGCTGCCTTTCCAAATACTATGTGTTTTTTGCCAGTGATGAACACACTGAATACTTGCTGTTGCTTTACAGATATGCAATCTTAAGCTTCAAAATTGCAGGGAAAAGAAATAACCTTAGACTTTAAATGAGAAGAAACCTCAATGTCTCTTACAGCACCTACCTTTCCTGACTCCTCTGAACGACCAGAACTTGCATCTCAGTAAAAAAAATTGAGCTAACAGAGCATTTGAAGGGATGCTTGATTCTTGCTTGATGTTAAGACTATTGATGAAATGTCATTTCAGAATGTAGCCATCTCTTATCAATAGCAGACAAGGTAGCCAATAAATTGCTGTTCAGAAAGATGAAAACTTGTTTTTTCTTGTACTTGTGAAAGTAAAGTGAAAATAATTATCTACATCCAGTAGCATGCTCTAGTTGCAAATTTTTGAATACAAGGTAAGTAAGCACCTTTAATGGAAATACTTGGAGAAAAGTAAAAAGATAATACAATTCCAATGAAATACAAGAGCCACCATGCAAACAAGTTTTTATTTCCACATTTGCTTATATTTTTTCTAGAAAAATTTTTCCAGGCTTTTCAAGTTTTTACATCTTGCATTTCAGCATATTTTTATATTGCATGTAAAAATTACTTTGAAGAAGTGCCTGTAGAACATGCTGGATTTCTAAAAATACTTCTATCTTCTGTTATGTTAACCAGTTTGAACATCTATTCTTGACTAAAGGTGGGCAGCCAAAGAATTTAACTTTCATTTATGATTAAGAGACATTAAAAATCTCTTAGATGATTTTCTAGGTATGTCAGATTAATAGACATTGTGTTATTGATGTGCATTAACTTGCTGGAACTTACATTTACCTTAAAGAACTTTTGCTTTATTACCCATGCTAATTTCTCCATCACTTCAAATTAGAGTCTGTATAATTGATTTTTTCTTTGAGATTAATTTATCAGCTTCTAAAACCTCTCTGTGCCTTTTTTATGGTTGTGCAATCTGCCAGAGGTTATTATGATGTTTAAGATACTGTGATGATTGTAGGCTAAGACATGGTTATATCATAAAATTTTACATAATCCCTAGAAAAATTAATTTGTCCCTATATTCAAGGAATTACTGGAATTCTTCAGTATATAAAAAATAAAGAATGCTTTAGAAACAGAACTGTTAGTATGCATAATTTTGAAGTTATTCCATTGATCTTCTATTTTGTTCTCAAAAATTCAGCTTTAAAATTGCATGTTTCAAAGCTTAGGGACTGCTCATTTTTCTCCAATCAAAAATCTGAGTAGAAGTGAATCCATTTCAGACATTCAATGCAAGGTTAGGGTAAGATTTTTGAGTGGCAATGTTGCTTAAACTTTGAATCCATCATTTTCAAATTAAAAGTGTAAGGCAGTGAGAAATGATGGACTGTTAAAATGAAAATTACAGACAAAACCATTCAGATTTACAGTTCCCAGGGAAAGCTTCAGACTGCAATGTATATTTGTTATTTAAAAAACAGTGAGGGGAAATGTCTATCATGTGTATGTAGTTGACAAGAATATATGATTGAGTAAGAGATTAATTTATGTTGAATAAGGTGGAGGTATTTTTCATAAAGAATACCTTAATGAAAAAACAATAAATTAGTTACATATTGATTTACTCTGAACAGGCAAGAATTGGCCTATATTTGGTAATATTTTAGTGAGGACAGGCTGAAATGCATTTACAAAGGGATTAGAGGTCCTTTAGACCTTCTTTGGAATGCAGTTGTGTAATATCTTCATATTGTGGGTATTTTGAAATTTTAACTGGGAAAGTTTTTAATTATTTGGATTTTGTTGTTGTTTTGGTTTTCTAAATGTAACTTTAGTATTCAGTTTTTTCGGCTCCATAATGTCTGATTTTGTTTCAATTAAAATATTCTTGAGATAATACACACTGAACTCTACAGATATTTCCCAGAAACCTGTACTGCACCAGCACTTTAAGTGTGAAAATAAATATCTGTTGCTCTTTTCCCCACCTTGTTTCTGAAAGAAATACTGCTTCAATATAAAACTGTAGATGAAAGCATTGTAAAGCATTGTCTTGTTCCAGCACTCACTCCTCAAGGACCTGTAGGCAGTGCATGGGAAGCAAGCTGGAATGCACTTGGATTGGGCTGCTGGATAAATGATTTGTAGAGTACATGTGTTTTAAGATAACTTTTTTACATTTTGATTACTGAAGATGAGGTTTGAAGTCTCTGCATGGGAAATGTAAGCCATATAGATTACTTAGCATGACTGCACAGAGCTGGTCTTTCCAGAGTGTGTTAAGAGTGACATGTTTCTTGAAGTGCAATTAAAATGGTTTTTATATATGGAGAGTTCTACATCTTATTACAAACATCTTTATTATAAAATGCTATAAAAAAGTAATGTATATATTTTGAATTACAAATTTATAGCTATTAGTAAATCAATCCAGAACTATGATGTGTAGTTTCTGGTTGTGTTCAGTCTGTGAATTTACATGCATGTTGTGAATTCAAATGTAGGAGTTTTGTAAGAAGTGATTTCTTATTAGTTACTTGAGATTGCTGTGTAGAAATGATAGAGATATTCATGGTGATTTTCACTATGGCAGATATGCTCTGGGAAAAAGTATTTACCATTACTTTATCATGCTATCATTAACATGTCTTTGATAAATTCCGAAGTGGATAATTTGCGCCTCTCAGAGGACTGAGAATAATTCCCTTAGTGATCAGTAAACAGAGTGATTCAGTTCACTAGTTCTTGTGATATCTTGATAATGAAACTGGTACCAAAGCAAGGCAGTCACATGTGAGAGTTGTACAGAACTGAGAATAGTCCTTTCTGTAAGCAAATCAGGGTGAAATTGCTGCATGCTAGAATCACACTATACTAATTATTTCTTAATTTATACTTAAACTGGGATGGATGGGATTAGAATATAGTCAGTGATATTTCTGCAATACCCCTAAATTACTTGAAGAGCATTTTCTTTTTATCCATAACATACCTTCTTTTAAATTGGATGTGTTTTCATTAATTATTTTCCCTTTCAGCAGTGAATTTTAATACTCTTGAAATTGCAAAAGTGAATGGTATTGAATCCAGACAGGCAAGTTTAATTAAAACCCTGTAAGTAATCATCAGTAGGATGAATTATTTCAATACAGATCTGTTTTCTGATCATCACTAGCTGCTATAATTCACCTTTTTGGTTTTTTTTTTTGGTGAGGCTGTTGTGCCCTTTTGTCAGGTTATTTTATGTGGTATAAATCAAGTAGCAAATATTACAAATATTGTGTGTGAATTGAATCTTATTTAATTTCAGTTTTCCCACAGCCTGTACTGAAGGTGTTAATGAGCTCACTCAGTTTCGTTTTGAAAGAAAAAGACAAAATGAGATATAATTTTAAATATAATTATGTTAGACAAGAGTGTGTGAGATTAAGGAGGCAAAAGATAACTTTGTTCTCAAAATGTGTGTGGTACTCTGTGGATGTTGAGTAATTTCTCATATCTTATATTCTGTGAGAATAAAAATAAATGGGCATTTTATGTTTAGATAGAAATCTGTATGGTTTGTTTATTAGAGAGTGCCTTCTCTAATATGCAGCACTGTGTTGCAGAGAAGCATTGAAATAGTCATTTTTAGGATGTACACACTAGTCAAAAATTCCTTATTTTTATCTTTTTCCAGGTGTGTCTTATCTACCTGGGGGAGTTGTCTGTTTGTTTGTTTGTTTGATGGTAATTTCTACTTGTTGTGCAGTGATGTCTATTACCTGTAATGGTTAAAAGAGAATCTAGGCTTCACACAAGGGGAGGTCTTGTATTTAAAGTGTGCTGTAATATGTCAGTTTACATTAAATTTTCAACAACTTCAGCCCACTGTGGGCCACCAGTGGAAGGAGCAGCCCTCCTTTCTGTTCCCCTCTCCAACTGCAAGTCCTCGCTGTCTCACGTGTCTGCAATTGCACAATTGCAAGATCCATGGTGGAGCTAGGGGTCTTTTCTGGCAGCTGGAACTTGTAATCATGGATCTCCTGTTTTGCCAGCCTTTTTTGGTTAGTTCATGTCGAGTGTGTCATGGGGCTGCAAGTAGGGATAGGAATGTAGACTTTGGTGTATCAATTCAAACCACTAATTTATCAGCAAACCTCTTAATTTTCATTTCTGGTCATCTTCTTTTATTACACATTCTCCGAATAAAATATGTTTATTTGCAGACCTTTCTGACACTGAGTCTTGCCATCTTTCTTAAAATTTAGAATGCACTGATCTGGGTGTAAGAACAGTATGTCAGCTCCCTGGTCATAGTTCTGAAACACACTGAGTACATCAGGAGAGCAAACATGTTCTTTGTGTCCTTACAAACACCAAGGAAAATTCACTGAATCACCAGCCCTGGTTATGCTGATGGAGGCTTAGAGCTGAGTGTTATGAGATCATTGTCAGCTCTGTGTTATATAGCACACTGATCTCACCTACTGATGTCAGTGTGATGAGCTGATTGTTACAGCAGTGAACAGATGAGAATGCTCTGAGAGGAAGAGCTGAGATCTCAGCGTTGAATCAAGGGAGTTTCTGTGTCTTCCTCCCCTTGGTCCCAACTAAAACAAAGAGCTCTAGCCATTACCAGCAACAGGTGTTTGACCATCCTGTGGAATGATTCTTAGAAATGCTTCAAGCCAGAGTCTTTAGGATCTAAAATGTTTCAAGATGCAACTGTTTTAATTTTTAATAATTGGTTCCTAAAAAGACCATTCGGTGTGGTAGTTACTGAGCTCTTTGTTCCCTATGCACTATTTAATCACTTCCTTGTAACATTTTATGCACACCGTATTAAGTGGTAGAAAATGCCAGGGTTTTGTAGTTGATCTGCATGGTCATGTGAGCTTTTGAGGATCTGAAGTTATGCTATGTGTATTCAAGACTAACATGGGAGTTTTCAGCATGAGGAGTTCACCTGTCCACTTCATTGTGAGGATAAATGCACAGCTGCCTTTGGTGATAGCACCGCCTTCTGCCATTGTAAAATGGCTGAAACTACAGCCTGCCTTTTTTTACCTGGTGTAGGCACCCTTAACAGGAGTTATGCAGTCTCCTGTTTAAGAATATACAGTCATTATTTGTTTTTCTTTCTCCTTGAGGCTTAGAGAAGTGATGTGTGGAAGAATGGCCACTGCAGTGAGCAGAATGGATCCTCAGTTGCATAAGGTTTAGAGGTTGCTGTTGAAAGCAATCAAGTCAGCATTCAAGATGACTTTTCTTCTGTTCATCTGTGCTGCTAGAGAGAGCAGCCATGTTTCCTGCTAGTTAGAGCCAGTGACCAACCCATCAAAGAACTACAGGAATAACCCTTTCATCTTCAAAACTACTTTCCATTTTTTTCTTCGTATTTTTAATTTGTTTTGAACATTCAAACTGTTTCTTTTTCCTTTGTGCCAACTTTTGACATGTTAGTTGCATATTTTCTTCTCCTCTTCCATTTCTCTTCAGATTTTTATGTTGAATAACTAGAGTTAAGATGTAATGTCAAATGTTGTGTGGAGACTGTGGCATTTTTGGTGCAGACTACAGCCAGAAGGAGCTGACCTGTTGTTTAGACAAATGCATTTCACAAAAATTTCAAAGCCATTCATGGTAGAGAAGTAAAAGAGACAATAAACTTGAAATCATTTTCTAAACCACTGTGCATATTACATTCATCTCTATAGCAACTACATAAATAGATCTATCCTGGAGGCTAATTTGAGGATATTTTTAATGTCTCTTTAAATTCAGTTTTCTGATTGAAAGTTGAATTAGCATGCTTCTTCAGACCTTTAGCTTGGGGAATGTTATTGGTCGTTAAATTGAACTTTTGAATGTGAAGAGCGAATATGGTATTTTTGATAAATGCTAGAATTTTGAAGATCTGTGAGCACAGGTTGCTCCTTCCAGTGCTGATGGTACAATGTTAAAATGTCTGCACATGAACTGTCTAGAGCACCCATCAGCCCTTTTGGGGAGTCTGTAGCTGGTAGTGAAGTTGTTTTTCCCACACCCTTTTTCTCAGGAGCATGAGAAATGAGCTTGTGCCTTGCATTTGTCTGTATCCAGGAGATCATCAAAAGCCAAATTTTACAAAAAATTAACCAAGAGTGATTCTTTCTAATCTCACTTAATGTGCATCAACTTGTAGTAAGACAAGGCATTTGTAAGAATGTAAAGGCAGGACATTAGTCCAGGGCATTTAAATAGAGAAAACATGTATTATACGTGGAAAAAAAATCTGCTTTTTTCCATCACATCTGTCCAGAGATAGGTTGTCAGCAATACTAGTGGTCAAAAAGAACTGAGCTGCATAAATTAATATTTTAAGATGTCCATGAAAAATTCTGTTGATATTTATAGCTTATGTAAAGCATAACTCTTTTTTTTTCCATCTTTTTTTTTTTTTTTTCATACCAATAGTTTTGACTGGTGGGTGGATGGTCAGGGAGGGAAAGGGCTGGGCAGAGGTGTGCTTCAGTGGGGTGTTGAGAAGTGCTTTAGGCTCCAGCTGACATTTTCCATGTAAACTCCCCCTCTATATGTGAGGAGATAAGCAGTTAAGACTTACGATTTCTGATACTGTGGTGTGAGGAACAATAGCTTGTCTGATAGTTAAGGAAAGTTTGTAACATGGAATAGCATTCCAATTTCTGTTAGATTTAGACACCACAAATGTGCTGTGCATGGGCCCTTATTGGGCTGGCTTGGATCACAGATAGGTTAATACCTTTGGTTTTGTTGCTCCACCCATAATGATAGAGAGCAGGTTTAGTTTTAGATCAGTACTGAAAATGAGAGTGCTGAAGAGTCACATCTATTAAATCCTGTTGCTTTTACACTGTGTTGGTGCCTAGGGCATCTTTATAAACACATCTCTAAAATATTTTTTACAAAATATTGCATTAAGTCAGAAGATTGGAAAGCGGTGGCAAAGAAGAATAAAAATAATTCAAAGCAGTGACAAAAGTAGTTCTTATGCTCATAAAATGAGGAGATTTTGCACATGGAGATGTATTATGAGATTAGTATGGCTGGGATTGCTCTTTTATGGCTTGTTTGCTTACATGTTCTTTATATAAAGAGATATTTTAAGGGGTAAAAATTTTGATTTCTTACAACTTGTAAAATGTTAGTCATGTTTTGCTGTTGTTAAACGTGTGTAATTTTAATAATGATAATTGAATTTATAGCACATTTGTAGGTTAAGAAATAGAATTGGCTTTACCCTGTATCCAATATATATGTGTTTAATGACAGCATCTTAAGTAGTGGCCTTTCTTTTGTTGGTTATTAAACAGGTTTTTTGAATACTTACCATATTGCTAGATTATTTTTCTAAATAATGTGCATGTTAACAGGAAGAATACATCTCTATTTCAACAAAAATTATTTACTAAATTTTGTAGTAAACTTTTTTCCCCACCTTTGTTTATTTGTGGTCATGAAATAATAATTTGTCAGTCTGTAGTCTATATTTGCAAGAGATATTTCAGTAAAATTTGACGAAAACTGTTTTTTCCTCATCTTCTTAATTTTATTTGGTGAATTTAAAGTTATCATAGGGTATTTTTCTTTTATTTTGTTTTTCAACACAAAGTAAAAAATAGTAGTCTACACATCAGTTACAGTTATAAAACATGTTTCAACTGTTTTTACTTAACATCTTCTATTTTAGACTTAATATTTGGTTCTGTCCAGTGGCAGCATCAGCTGACTTTTACCATGACACAAACTCACAAAGAGTTGGGTTTTGTCATTGTCAACCTGATACTGAAATAGTCATGAGAATTTATTGCATAATACTTTGAACTCCCTCTAGCATCTCACTGTAGGTAACAAGTGTACTTCATAGTCATCTTTTAAAGCAAATCTGGCCATAGTTGGCAGGTTTGGAAGAAGTTCAGCTCAGACAAAGCAAATGCTGGAATGCCAAGCACCATTCATTATTCAGAGGCCTCTCAGTGTCTTGCCAATGGCCTTCCAGAAAGTTGTGTAACATTGTGGTTTTCTTTTTGCTGGCAGGTGATAAATCCAATGGGATGGGATGCATTTGGTTTACCAGCAGAAAATGCTGCAGTTGAACATGGCCTTCACCCTGCAAGCTGGACACAAAGGTGACATGAATTGAAATATGGCATTTTCACTGTGAATACCTGTACTGTGGCCCCCATGAATCAACGACACAGAGCAAAACTAGCATAGCAGGAAGATGGTACAGAAAGAAAGAAAGAATGGGGTTATCTGAGACCAGGGTTGACAACATTTTATGGGACTGTGCAGATGACTGTGCTTTGAAAGATAAATATGTTGGGATGATTTTCAAGGTTTTAATCTCAATGACTTGTAAATTGTAAAATGCTACAATATCAAAAGAGAAGCTTTTCCCAAACACCCAAACCAGCAGGTATAAATAAATCAAAATTTCATTATGGTGAGGTAAACCTTAGTATAGAGTACACAGTGGAAAATTACGAGTTACGTGGTTAGATTTATTAGCAGTTTTTTGTACCATGTGAGAGAGGAAGAATATAGTTGGGGTTTTCTGAGACTGGATCTTGGAAAGTACTAAGCAGCCATTATTGCTGCTGATTTCTGTGAACATTTTTAGGTTTAGACCACAGAATGGTCTATTATGTTATGTTCTCCTAATATTCTTTAAAATTAGTAAAATGTTATATAAGTAAACAGTTGCTGAAAATTTCTTGGAAACCAATCTTCCTAAGTGAAGTTGCTTGTTGTACTCTGGATGCAGTAATCTATCTGTGGTACCTTTATAGACCTTGATCAATTTCCTTCTTTGATAAAGCTGTTTCTTTGGGTTTTGTTCATGCATCTGGTCCCATCATAAGATTCTTGATAATTTTCCAACAAAAATATCACAATATTAAATACTTGCAGTACTCAATTATTCAGCACTGCAAGTTTTTTCTGGATCATAATTAAATGCTTGTTTTCCTAACTGTCAACTTATCCACTCTAGGAGGATAGATACTACTTTGTCTGACAGAATGTCTTTCAGTAGAAAGGTCAAAGTCCCTAAGAAATGTAATCAATTTTACAGTATATGAATGAATTCCCACTAGCTCCTAATTAATATTGTGTAATTGTGGGTATTTCGGCAAATTGTATTTAGTACATTTTCAAACTAAAGCTTCACTGTATATCCTGATGTATCTTACTTTACATTTGTAATACAATCCATTTAGGGCAGCATCTAACCTGACAATGTCAGAGGTGATTAATGTTTATCTATGGTGATGCTGCTAGCAGGAGTTTTGTAGTTCTTTGTCACCTCCCAGGATACAAGCTCTCATCACCTCCTTTGCACTGGCTCATTTGGTTTTGTGGGCCACAATTTTGATTTGATCAGCCTGTTGACCAGAGGGAAGAAAGAAATCTGGTGGGGTTTTGTTGGAGAATTTTTGGAGGGCATATCTTCAACTGGATGGGTAGGCTGATTCAGGTTACTCTACAGCCACACAATCACCAGAGCCACAGCAAAATACAGCCTGGAGAGCATTGCCAGAACAGAGCAGGATTAAGCTGAAAGTGGAAGTGTTCCCTACTGCACTGAGATTAAAGAGGGCCTTTTTACTGTAGTAAAGGTAATTAAAAATAGTAAGAAGTGGTGCTTGAGTAATGCTTCCTTCAAACTACAGTGCCATATTTACTTTTAAGTTGCATTCAAATATAGAGAAAAAAAAGTATTGCCTCATATAAATAGCCATGGGAATTGAGCCAGAATATATTGGGGGCTTTTAAAAATTATTATTTGAGTATTCTGACAATTCTGAGTTTTACTGCTAGTGAGATCATAGTGTCTAGGGGTTAACTAGTGCTTTTGATTTCTCAGAACTCTTTAAGCACCAGATTTTTTATATGATCATATGTTAGAAGTATCTTAAGCTAATAATTTTGCCTTTATTATTATTGTTTTGCAGTAACATTCAACACATGAGGAAACAGTTTGATGCACTAGGTCTGTCTTTTACATGGGAAAGGGTAAGATTTTCTTTTTAAAATGGATACTGCTTTATTTTGTTGTATGATGGAGCATTGAGACCCCTGGAATGTCACCATTTTATTATGATGATACAGCTGTCTTTGACTGTGACCAGTTTAAGTTGTTAAACTGTAAAATTGAGCTTTTATCAGATTTCACTAATTTTTGACATGCTGATATCATCTGATAGTATCAATGTGTAGGAGAATCTTTAAAGTAATTTCAACTTTGTATTTGCTTTTTCTCTCTTTGAAGTATCAATTTTCTGTGTTGGAAATAAGGTAATAAACAGATATTTATGAAACAGCAGTGCCTTTGTGCTAAGGTATGTGTTTTTTGAGGAGTGCTGTTTCCAATGCATATGTCAAGGGTTTAAAGATAGTAAATTGAAACAGTGGCTCGGTTATGTTATTCCAAATTTCAAAGTATAAGCCTGTATTTTCATAGATGTTCATATCAGGATCACTTTGGAAACCAGAAATTTTATTTAAAACACTAATGCTTGAGTATCTGGTGTTCACCTTAAAAAACTTACCAAACACAATCAGACATAAGCTAATGTCGTTCTCCAGATAAAAAATAAATTAGTGTTTGAAGCGATTGTGAGGTTATTGCATTTACCAGTGAATCAATTGGTCACTGCCTTTATATTCTCAGCAACAGCTGCTGCTTATCACCTTAATGTGATTTTGAATAGAGTGATGGAGATGCTAATCTTGGATTTTTATAGCAGTATTGTGGATCTGAAAAGGAAAAGCATTAGTTTTCTGACAGTCTGAGACATGCCATTTGTTTTCTTTAATCATGAAGGTGAAGTTTTTTAGTTGTATGTCTTGCATCCAAAAAACCATTTTGTCATGTCTCATATATGGAAGGATTTTTCAGTATAAACCTTTTGAATAAGATTTAAGTTTTCTTGGTAGCCAAAAAAATTGCTCAGAAAAGAAAAGATTTGTTGTGGAAGCTTCACTGCACACATTCTTGACATCTACTGTCTACAGCTGTTGGTATCTCAGAGGTTGTCTGTGTGTGTGGTGCAGCAGTACTGAAAGCAGTGGAATCCTGTGTGTAGGCTGTGTTGTGGAGCACACACATGCACACACACACACGAATTCAATGATGCAGGTTGCATTTCAAGAAAATTGTGAAAATTAATGTCTCTTGTATAAACTTCTGTTTAGCCCTTCCATCCTGAAAAACAGATGGAAAACTGGCAGTATTGAAAACCATGGCAAGAAGTATAAGTACCCAGGGAAAAGTAATTTGTCATCTCTGTGCCTGTTCTTCAGGAGTTACCTTCAGTTTGCTAGTAAACTGTGTTTTGGTTAATGAACTTTCAGGAGTCTCTGAATACTTGTGGAAAAGGCTTTGATACCCTATTACTAGCTCCATTTGAACTGCTGTGTAGTTGAAATGCTTTAGAGTGCTCTAGGGACACATAGTTGGTGCTTTTGAAAAGTGAGATTTCAAAACAGCTGAAAAACCTTTCTTGAAACACAACACATGTTGGAGTTTTCACTCCTTAGCTTATGAGTTAAGTTTTGTTTTGCTTGGAAAGCCTGACATACTAATTGGAGTAAGAGTAACCTGAATGGTAGCCATAGAAACAGATATGTTTATTAATTGCAAAAAAATTCATGAAGCTCAAAATATTATGTGACCTCCAAACACACAGATATTTGAGCTGGCCAAGAAAGAAGCACCTGTGGCAATGGAAGGGCTAAGCTGTAGCAGGGTGTTTTACAGGCTGATAAAGCCTGCTTCTCTGCAGGGCTCATTAGGCTGGGCAGAACACCTTACTGCCTCAGCTGTACTGCTCCTGGGCTAACTCAAGCATCTTTGCACAGAAAAGCACTGTGCTGTGCAAGTGCTTATCTTAAAAGTGAGCTATTTGAGGTAAGGAGTATTTTTTCATAGTATTCTGTACTTGTATGGCTCTAAATCAGTGGCTCACAAAATACTGTGACACTGCAAAAAACCCACTAGTATTAATGACTCCTATGAACAATCCAAGAAAAACATTTTATATGGGTTGGTCTCATTAACCAAGACCATTACACAAAGCAGGGACCTGTTTTAAATTTTATTTCATTGATGTAGCTTAAATCTGCTCCTTTATTATGCTACTGCATAGTACTTACCAAATAATGCTGGAGGTAACTCGTTCTCCTAACTTAGATCCATCCATATTTTGATGTGTGGTGAATTGCTTTTTTAACGTGTGAATTTATGTTAGCTGTGTCCTCTGCGGCCAGCTTAGAGTACATGCTTAGGTGATGGGAAGGAAACTTACATAAACTTCACCTTTTACATATAGTATGGGGAAAGAGAAGTGGATAAAAGAAAAAAAAATCCATTTTGAGAACCTAGTGCATATAGCTGTCCTAGAGAGTCTGCCTGCTTATAAAGTCACATGTGGTTGTCAAGAAATTTGTATCCAAGAATACAAAGACTAGTTAAATCTCATTGTTTGATAAAATTAGTATGAACAAATCCCAGTGCATTTGCAATACTAGAAATTTCCTTTTATTTTTCCATGTTTTTTTTTCCTTGTTCTCTTTGTATTACAAATCAAAATGTGCAGGTATTTCTGTCTTGTAGCTGTCAGTGAACTTACTTATCACGTAAGATATCATAAATAAGACATTTATTAAAAGCTAGATTAATTAGATTAGATTATTTCAGTCAGGTTACAATGACACTTTAAAATTGCTCTCCTAAACAGAAAATCTAAGCAAATGAAAAATGAAATTAAATTACTAAAATAGCTCTGTAAGTACTTTGCCTTAGAGTAGTTTTGAAAACAAATTATTATCTGATTTTTTAAAAATACCTCTGAAACATGGAGGTATTTTAAGTGCCTCAAGTTAGAAGTATTATATTTGTAAATCGCTTTGAAAATGGTGTGATTCTGGGGAGAGATATTTTTTTTAAAAATCAGTAAGTGGGATAATATTTCTATTCTGAACATTTATGTTCCATTCAGATGGAAGGTTGAAAAGCTGAAGTTTGAGCATGGAAGAAATGTCTCTAAGAGTCATTAAAAACACATGGAAAATTTAAAAAATCCCTAACATCATGTTTTGGTTTTAAGATAACTATAATCTGAGCATTCCTGATGATCAGATTTTTTGAAAATACCACCCCAGACAGCATAGCAAACTGCCTGTGACTTCTTTTGAACATGATTTTCAGGGGAATTAAGCAGTATCATTTTCAATGATTCATATCATCAGCAACAAAAGACGAAAAGCATACAATGTTTTTACTTTATTTTGTTCAAGAGTGTCATCAGACCAAATGCGTGTTCCCAGTAAGCCATCAGTTCACCACTATTATCAATCTGTAACTTTCTCCCTGGAAGTAGCTCTTTCTGTGAAGGTTTTTTAGTAATTTCATTTTCTGCATTCCAAGTGACATATTTTGTGCATGAGACTAATGTTCCCCGTCTGCTCTGTACATTATTTAAAAAATTAAATCTTTGGTAGATTTTCTTTGTGCAGATAATTTTCTATTTAGTTTTGAAGTTGTCGTCTGTGTGTACTGCCTGAGCATGCATAAAGCCAACAGTACATAGATTATTACCTATGAAATTTTCTTTTTATCCACATACCATTGATAATCAGTGACCCAATTATAATTTTTTTTTTTTTTAAAAAAAGAAACTGTTGATACAAGACTGCTTTTTTTCAGGAAATATATTCGTGTTCCAAAATGTAGGCACTGTATGACATTTTTATTGGTAGCTAATAAAGCATAAAACTAAAGGCCTTTGAAATACAAATACTCAAATTAATTTAGAAATGTAGGTTGGTGTAGCTCTAAACCTCTGAAAATCAAATAATTATACTTCTAGATGAGGTAGTGCATGCCCTTGAAAACCAAAATAGGCAGATAATTGATTAAAGACTGTTTTATCTTCCCAAATAGATTTTGAAAAAAATCCATCCCAACTTTTCTTCTTATCTCCCTTTAAAGAGGTGCAACATGCCTGTCTTCAGGACAGCATAAGACTGTGCTAAAAATAAATTTATTATTAATAAACTAGGAAATTGCTTATCTCCAGTCTAGTTACATGTGTTTCATGAAGTCTGGTGGATCTTAGAAAAAAATAAATCTTTTCATGCAGCCTATAAATATTACTTTTATTTTTTAAAATATAGCTATGGAAGTAGCTTGAAGTTGTAACCTTATTCTTAAAAATACAATCAAAAATTAATTACAGGGTCAGAGACTCATAATAGAAAATTGTAAGAAGGGAGCAGGTTTAGAACAAATCATGAATTTCAAAAGAAAGCATTTGAAAATTACTTTTTCTTATATTAAGCAAGAAAATCTTTCACCCAGATTTAGTTGTTGTTTTTTTGTTGTTTTTTTTATGCAGAATTCTTTACTATTGGTTACCCTTATTTTTATTGGTAGTTGAAAGGTACTCTTTAAATCAGATTTTTTAATAGTGAATGGCTTTTTGATCTTTACATGGATCCATTGCTTCCCACGTTGCAGTGATATCAAATCCAGATTGTAATACTACCCATTTAGTCTGTAACTGAGAATTTATTTGCAAAAATAAACATGTTACCAACCCCTCTGGTATGGTATTTTTTAGGAACAAATTACTGTGCTGCAATAATTAAGCAAGGTAGTTTTTGGTAAGGATAGGGGTCTTTCCTATGCCTTGCCAGTATCTGCTCTTTTAACCTGTGTAGGTGATTTATTTAAATTGTTGTAATGAATTCTGTTAATGAATGAGTGACATTCCTGTAGGAATAAGGAACAGTAACAGTAACCAAAGACAAAGATCCATTTTGGTGAGAGTATCTGTTTAAAGCTGACAAAAGTAGAAGGCAAAATGGATGGGTAGAAGAGGAAGAGGCTTTCCCTCTCATTTCATAATACTGCTGAATTGCTGAGGTGATGGGTGATCACTAAATCTCCCACAGAGCACTGAAGAGCACATGCAGTGGACAGCTGAGCAGCATCTTACATATTTTTAGAAGAGTTGGGATTTTTAGTAGGTATTTTATTTTTGTGGAAAATATGGTAATATCCTGTTATATATATTCACTGTACTGCTTTATGGTATGGGGTTCTATATGTATGCTGTTATGCCAGTGCTCAGATCACAAATGAGAAGCAGAAATGTACAGTTTTTGGCAGGCTGGAATGGCTCCAGCATGCTATTTTTCAAAGCCTTTTTTAAACTCTTTTGTGTATTTCTGAGTTAAGATAGTTCTGTTAATGTTCAGCAGATCTTTGTCATGCTTACAGAATATAAATAGAGATGTTAACATTCACCTTAATTTAAGCATGATGGCAGCCTAATGGAAACTTTTTACCAGACATCATTAATTTAATCAGGGTCAGTAACTGGAATACACAGAAAATTATTTATAACAGTAAATCTTACTGTGCTAAATGATAGGAAAAAACCACCAAAACACATTTCAAGATTGGCAGGAGTTTGCTGGCTTGTCTTCAGCACCTCATTTTACTTGTTAGTGATGTAATTTCTCTTTCTTCATTAACTTGAAATGTTACTCCAAACCTTCATGGTTATAAAGTTAAATTCTGAGCTCGAGTGGTCTTTTTGCATCTCAGTGACCGCACAGCAGATTTCTTTTTCAGTGATACAGTCTGCTGCATTTCTTTCAAAGAAATGTCTATTTACTTCTTGTGAGAGAGCGTGTACATGGGATTCTATTTGCAGAAATTAGCTTGTATCTTGTAGCTCAAGCTTGTGTGGCTTGTAACATGCTTGTTTAGATTAGAAAATGTCATCTTTTTGTTTCAGTTGAAACACATCTGCCTTTCAGTGCCAAAAGGACCAATCTCCACTCACTTTTCTGTTTTTATTTGGCAGCTCACTTTTGTTGTCCTACCTATTTGCCAATTGCTCACATAATCTTATATTGTACTTCTGAAAGGGATTGCACATCTTCTTTTGTGTGTCTGATACTCCAGTGATGAAACTCAGTTGCCTGTAGTGGCATCACACTGGCACAAGAACTGTTGTCAGTGTGTGAAGAAGCAGGGGGAGGAAAAAACTATTAAATGTGCTTAGTTGAAGACATGGAAATCAGATTTTTATCAAGTGGGGTTTTTTTCAGTGCAGAGAAAAGGGTTTTAATCAAGCAACTGTTTTTCATTACTAGGTTTTTACATGCTGAGCTGAAAACTTGCCATTAAATGTCTCTTTTTGATCTTGAAAGCCTCTTATACACACTTTTGAGGCACATTTATTCAAAGGTCATATTAATTGTTAAAAGCTATGTTTCAGCACTGACATATAAAGTTCAAAGCAACTAGAATATAAAATTGTAGAAAAAGAATAAAAATTTCCTGCTAGAGCATTTCAGATGTCATTTGAGTAGCAGATGATACTGCAGGAGTTGTGTGTAGTGGGAAGCTAGGATGATGGGAAAGCCCACGTGAAAGACATTTCACATGTAAAGCTATTTCTGATGCTTGATAACTACTCCAAATGGAATAAATTGTATCAGTGGCTTACTTTTTGTCTGTAACTTTAAAATCAAGAGACGTTCATATTAGTTTGAAGTTCGGTGTAGAAGCCATCTTCCACTTCAAGCAGGTACGTGGGTTTCCATTGCACCTGTGAAACCTGTGTTTGTGTTGAGAAAACAGGGAGTCTGTAATGATGGAATCCATTAGTTGTCTTTGCATATTAATGATTATTTTAAGTCAGTTTTTTAAGAACAAACATTTAAAATATGGAGCTTCGTAAGCAGTTGGTAAGCAGCTTGTTTTTTAATTATCAGAGTTCACTAAAAACTTGGCAAATGTTTTTGAGTTTTAAAAAAGCTATCCATTATATTGTACCTTGCTGTTGTCTTAACTCCCATTCCTCCTGCTTATGTTGTCTTTTATTTTTATCTGTCTTTATTTCCTTCATAACCATCCTCCTCTTTTGTGACTTGTATGACTCATTTTTTCCATACTTTAACCTAGATCATCCTCCTGACTTGAGCTCCCTTGCCTTTTGGAACAGTTGCTTATTTGACCTTTGAATGTGAGCTCCCCTTCCCGAGTCTTTCATCTTGAAGTTCAGAGTCTTACCCTGTGTTCCATCCTGTCTGCCCGGCACGGTCTGTGTGCCAACAGCCCGCGTTCCTCAGCGCTGTTCCGCTCTCCTCCTGCACCCACCGTTTCAGCTGTGAGCTCCTCGCTCTGCCTGCTTCACATCAGCCAGCTCCCTGCTGCCTCGGAGCATCCACAGCCTCTGCTCCTGCTTCCCATTGCTGAGCAACAGTGGAAAAGGCAGCCTGGCTAGGAGGGCTCTTTGAGAGAAGTCTGCTTTTTTTTCTAGTTTTGCTGTTTCCTTGATCAGGCAGCTGTGATCACTTCCATTCATCTTCTGTTCTTGTGTCTATCAGCTTTAATCTTGCAGAGTTTTATATCCCACGTTAACAGGGAAACTTTTCCTTCTGCGTTAAACCCACACAAAGCCCATGTTCTCTGGTTTTGTGTACAGGTGAATATCACTATTGTGATATTATACATTAATATTATAATTGTACATTAATCCCTGCATAAATGTTTACTCTGTGGAATATATTATACACTCCTGGGTTAATTCTTGAAGTTAAAACAGCATAGGAAAATACTGAGAATACTTTCAGAAATTTTTATTTTATTTCATTTCTACAGGAGGTAACCACTTGCTTACCAGAGTACTACAAATGGACACAATATCTCTTTCTTAAGCTTTTTGAAGCTGGGATAGTGTATCAAAAAGAGGTAGGTACAAACTTTGCCCTTCAACATTTTGCTGCTACACTAATTTAGATCACTCGTGTCAGTGGCACATTTCTGGGCTGTCCATTCACAGTCATAAAGTGATTGTGTTCTGTTAGTTTTAAATCACTCTAAAATAGAATTAATGTTTTATATAATTATGATTAATTTTATATATATTTTCTTTATATATATTTATAAGAATTTTCTATGTAGCAGTTTATAACTAGCTAACTAACACATGGCCAATGTAGCAAGTCACATCAGGGGTGTTTATTGTCAGAGATTTGCACTGAAGTGCAGGATCAGAATATAGCTTTTAGTTTTTTATTTCCCGGCTTTAATATTTTCTAGATTTTATTGTGCCTCATGGAAATACATGACATGGTGGTCATTAGGAGTCTCTTCACAAGTGAGATTATTTACCAGTCTAGCATTACTGTAATACTGTCTCAGAACTTATGGTTTTGGACAGCATAATTGAACCCTATTTGTGATCTTCAAAATATTAAAGAAGTATGGGGTGTCATAAGACTATCACAGCTGTTCATCAGTTACCACTACATTAAGAAATTATAATATTTTGTACATAACACGTGTCAGGCTCTATCTGAAAAGTGAAGGTTTCAGTTATTTCTTAAACACGAGATGAAACAAAGATGTTGAATGAGCAGTCCAGAGAACTCTCTGCATAGCCTTGGCAATGCAGTTCCAAAATACCTGAAGAGCTGCACTTTAACAAAACTGCAATTTAGTGAATGTTTCTAACTTAAAATGGAAACTAAGTTTTCTTAAATATGCTTTGATATTCCATTTGTATTCTGTAGAAACCAGGGAACCCCATAGGATATAATTAAGGACGTACTGCAATTATTCTCTGAACCTGGAAAAAGAGATTGATGGTGAAAGGTAGCATTTAGGATAGCAGGGTGTTACTGAGCTATTTCTCCTATTTGCATTTGTATTCAGAGATCTTAAATGACAACCAGCAAAACCCCTCAGTGTTTGATATATACTAGCATGCTGAATTGAGGTTTGGGGTTTTTTTTCCCTTCTGTAATTATTTTTTTTTCTATTAAAAAAAATTAACCCCCCAGCTTTGTTATAACAAACCTATTTTTATCTGTGAATTTTTTTGTTTGACAAGTGAACTCAGAGGAATCTGGAAAGTTTGCTGCTTCATTTAAAGCAGGGATGATGTATAAAATAAATTTTACATTCTGACTCCAAGTACTGTGGGATCCTGGAGGTGCTCAGTTACCAGTGATTGAATCTACTTCCAACTTCCATCTGCTTTCAAGTCAAGGATCAGTTTGAGGACTTAAATCAGCATCTGTCAATCTGTAGGGGATGTAATCTCTGGTGGATATGAACCAGTTGCATTTTGGCAGGAAACAGATGGCAGAGAGAGCCCATAACCCTGGGTCTCTTTGAACAGTCATATATACTTAAAGCATATATTTGTCTCATGTTGTCAGTGTATCTGCAATATGTATTAAACACAGCTTGAAGTCTCCTGTATTACAGTTTCATTTTAGCTACAAGAGATAATTCATAGCCTTACTGTGACAATAAGAATAAGGCAAGTAGATTGTTAGCCTAGTTAATGCTCTGTTCCAGGAGTGTGCATGTCTGACCAGAAATTATCCTGGCAGGGATATACAGGGATACACAGGATATGTCCAGGAGCTGCAATTATGGAGGATTAACAATGTCTGTGTGAGTGCTGCAGCATCCAGAGAGGGCACCTTTATTCATTGCAGCAAAATCATCCCTTTTTCCTGCAGTACTCACCTAGTCAATGTACTGTAGGGGTTGTTGACCTGGCCAGATGTGAGTGCCTCACTGAGGTTAATACCTGCTCTGGCTCTGCTGCTTTGATCAGATATCTGTAATCCATAGTGGACCCAGACACAGCAAGCCTGGGGATAGATACTTACACTTTGGAGACCTGAAGATAGACAGGATGAATCCTGTCTTAAAAGCATGTGGTCTGCATTGGCGTAGTGAGGAGAGCGAGATAATTGGTGTGCTCTGAGCACTCCTGCTCTGTGCTTTCTTTGTGTAGATGACTTTGAGCAGCTTCCTGGGGTCATCGTTGCAGAGGCTGTCATTGTCAAGAAGTTGCCTTTGTGAGGTACAAGCAGGAACTAAAGATTTCATTTATTAGCCAGGTTCTAGATATTGTCAAAAGTCTGCGTGAGATGGAAGGAATGTAACTTAAAAAATACAAAGACAAGACCTTTCTGCTAACGATTTCTTAAATGTACATTTGCTTTATTTAGATTTATTTAGATACAGCCTTATGAGTTGTAACAGCAGGATAATGTAACTTAAAAAATACAAAGACAAGACCTTTCTGCTAACGATTTCTTAAATGTACATTTGCTTTGTTTTGCAGGATTTATTTAGATACAGCCTCATGAGTTGTAACAGCAGGAGTTGTTATGCTAAATAGTTATGTAATCATTTCAGTTACCTTCCAAAATTTTCACCATAAATTTAGTATGTTATCATCAAAATAGAAATGGTATTTTTTCTCAACTTAAAGTCACAGCCAGCTTAATACCAGCTTATGCTAATATCACTTTATGGAACTGGAATTGTATTACTTCTCAATGTTGTTTGATTTATCTCTCTTTATCTCTCTTTATCTCTCACAAACTTCAACTTTGTGTGGCATTTTTTCAGAACTTTATAAATTGAAACGTCATTACTTTAGAGCCATATTCATAATGTCTTATATTATTACTGAAGAAGCTGTATTTTCTAGAATTCTGGAAAATAGGTTTGTAATAGTGGAATATATTGATTTCTTTTAATTTCACAATAAATTTTCATAAGCCTTTTATAAAGTCTGATGTGGTATTTTTGGTTGGTAACAGATAAAAAGCAATAACTAAAAAGTTATATTCAAGTCTGAATTCACAGGAGCTTCATTTGAAGGCATGTTTTAATTTATCAATGAATAACATACATTAATGCACTGATAATAATTTTTTTTTATAAATCAGTGTAGCCAGACTTTGAGCTCACACAGTTATGAGCAATATTTCTAAGAAAGAGGATGCCTGCATCTTGCTTTTAGCTCTCCTCATTATAAGATTTGTAAAGTGGTTGTGGTATTCACTATTTGTAAGAATATGTAGCATATTTAAAATGAAGCAATATTAGGTGTTTGGAAACTGGTCCGAAGGTGATAAGTGATAGATAAAACATAAAGTACAATGTAAGTGCAGTTACTAATTTTTGATTGAGATACAAGTCCTCCCCATACCCAAAGAAGTAATTCCAGTTTTTTTAATGTTTAATGTATTAGATCTCTATGGAACTGTAGCTACTGTTTTTCAGTCAGATTTAGCTTAAATACTAAATAACATTCAATATAATTATTGCTCTGATTATAGTTTTTTTTCTTTCTGTTCATTTTTTCAAGTCAGTGTATAGCATTTAATGCCACTTTTGGATAGGATTCTTTTGTGATCTTGGATCCTTTTTGATAAGTGACCAGTTAAATTTTTCAGCACTAGGGGAGGGTGAGTTTGATTTTTTCTCCTTTCCCAGTATGTTATGTCTTCTATTTCAGTTGACTCAAAAGCTCAAAATACAAAGTTTGTGGAGATGAACACCAACATTAATTTCACTTTATAGATTTTCACTTAATGCATGTGTATTGATAAGGAAAGAGGATTCCAAAAGTAATTCATGCAATTGACATGGGTTACGTACAGATAATATCAACTCTTTCACTTAAAATATAGTTGACTGCTGTAATACTTCTTTGTGATTCTGTCCTCTTGAGTTGGACATCCTTGTCTACTCATCCCCCTCAGTCTGACTCAACACTTATGGATTAGTAGTGAAGAACTTCTAAGCATCAGACTATTTTATTTGCAGTATAGTCAATTGGAACACTTATTACATATTACAGCCAAGCAGTAAGGTGTCTGCCTATCCTGCTAGCATGATCAGTCTAGACTAACCTTGCCAACTGCATTTTTGGGTCATCTGAGTTCTGAGAGATGAATGTTCAAAACTTTACCAGCTTAGTCCATGTTGCTGATTCAAATGGATGTTTTAAAAAATACAGAAAACTCAGGTAAACTTTGAAGGTATGCTTCTGGATAATTCATTTGGCATCTGTAAAGTAAAACTTTGGTTTTTAACTAGCTGATGAAAGTATTTTTTCTTCGTGCAACTTTTTTTTAGGCCTTGGTTAACTGGGATCCAGTGGATCAGACTGTTCTAGCTAATGAGCAGGTGGATGACAATGGTTGCTCTTGGCGCTCAGGAGCAAAAGTGGAGCAGAAATACCTCAAACAGTGGTTTATCAAGACAACTGCTTATGCAAAGGTATGAGAATACAGTTTTTGGAAATTATGGTAGTACTTCAAAGAGGAGACTTTTTGTCCAGAAATACTAAGCTGAATGTGGTCCTTTATAGATTCGTTTGAATAATATATAATTGTATAATAATATGTGTGATCTATCCCTGTGTATGTGTGTATATTAAAATTATTGCCCCTGAAGTCCCTCTGTTCACCTCTTTAAAAACTGTAGGTAACTGCTGTGGAATTAAGTTTTGATGAAATCAAAAGGCACAAATTAGTGGTGAATTATTGAGTTCTGCATTTGCACATTAGCATCCTGTATTCACCATCAAGTTCTTTTCTGCATATTTTGAGGGTAGAGCTGTGCAAAAAACTTTTTTGCTGACTGGCGGGCATTTTATAAGCAATGGAGTACAACCTGGCACCTAGAATCCAGTTCCACCTGTGTCTGCACCATAATTCTTTATATTTAACTTCTTTTTATTGACGATTCATTTTAATCTTCTACTTCACTTCATACTCTACTCTATTTGATAATCTGTTATTTTAAAAATGTTTTCAAGTTATTTAAACATCCTTTTTTTCTTATGAGATCCAGTTTTGATTGTGCTGGGACAAGCGAGATTCCACACTTCAGAATTCAGAACAAAAGTTCTGGCTTTATGCTCTCTGAAATGAAAGTATCAGCTTCCTGTTGTGTCTGGGTGAAGTTTTTATTCCCTCTGAGTGGTCTGTGTATTGAGACTTCAAGTACAGATTGAGAAAGTTGCTCCCAAGAAAATATTAAAAATTCATCTTTTATCCTTTTCTCAAGTCTCAGATTCAAGAAACCAAATTTCCACTATCATCCTAGGAGAAGTCTGTGTCTCTCTCCAGGTCTATTCATAACAAAGAGAAAAGCTTTAGATATCCTGCCTGATGCTTTGATTCTTCATACACAGAGAAGTGCTTGAGATACATATTTTCTGATTGTGCTGCCTGTTCTGGCAGTAAGGAGGGAACATTTGCAATAGCTGAAGGAAAAATGGAGTATGTCTGCAGCATCACAAAATAAACACAATGTTCTGAGCTTTTTTTCCCCCAGTTCCTTTGTCACCAGATTTCATTATGACCTTTGTGATATTTTAGGGTCTGCCCCAACTCACTGATTCCCCATCAGTGAAAGCTCCCCAATGGAGCTACATTAGAGTTTCTGTCTTTCCTGAAATGTCTTTTCTCCATTGCCTCTGTACAGGTTGTAGGAAGCAATGACTGGTATTTCTGGTCTGTATCCATGCTGGTACCCAATTACTTATATCCCTTTAAAAAGGGTGAATCAGCCATAAATTTTTACTCATCAAGACCGAAAGGCATGACTGCGGAGTTTCTCAGTAATCTTGAAAACACCCTTGGTTTATGGGATTATTACCTCTTGCTCAATATCCACCCTCTGCGAGGAAGGATTTATATTTTGTGTTTAGTCTCTTACCTGGAAATGCTGTTACAGTCTTTTGGGCAGATCACATCTCCATCATGTCATTCCCCAGTAAGCAGCCTTATCTTATGATAAGAAGAAACATTTACCTCCACAACACCCCTTCATCTTCCCCTCAAAAATGTCACCTTAGGACACTGCTATATTCCCTACCTACGTGAAGGGCCGGTGACCTTTTCTTCTTGAACATCTTAGTGACATAAGAGCTGCTTCTGCTCTTCATTTTGGGAAGACCATTTGTAGCAACTCCTACAAAACCTTAAAGCATTGCTGCAAAGGACAGTTGAGTACTGTACAGATTTCTGTGAGGGTTTTCCAAAATTTTGTTCTGTTTGTGATTGATATTCCAGAGGGTCTGCTAGCTGATACAACCAGATCAGTGAGTGATGCCATACTGCTTCCAGCTGAAGTGCTTTGGCAAGCATTACCTTCATGTTCTCCCACTTCTTGTACAGTGACAGATGCTACCAAGAATCAGCAGGTGGTTTGGATTTTCCTTTTTACTCACCCTCCACTCACTCCTATTTTTGTTGCTGTGGTTCTTTTTAAACAGTCTCACTCCACTTCTTTTGGCAAGACTTTTAAACATTTGGTTGTAGAGGGGGAAAAATAACTTCCCCCCCACCTTGAAATAAGAATAGCAGATTACCAGGCTCTGCTCTATGAAGTCCAGTATCTGACAGTTGATGGAGTTCATGCTTGGAAGATTAAGACAAATAAAGTCCTTTTTTTGGTAATTTTTTTTCTTTCAAGTTGCAAGAGACTACATAACATAGCATGTTGTGGTTTACTTTCTGAGGAGGACTGTTTTGGCCATACAGCTCTGAACAGCCCATGAACTGCAAGCCATAATTGAAGACATTCCACTGGATGGAGGCTGGATCTGAGCCTATAGTGGCCAAGTATTTCAGACTCTTAGAAACTCTGTGCACACACTGACATAATCAGGAAGCTTCACATTAGCATTTTGACAGGAGCCAAATTACAGATCTGAAATGCTACAACTTTGGCTTCTCTTTCTGAATAACTTGAGTAGTTATCCTCAAAACATCCTTGCACACATTTCTTCATTCCTTATGGTAGTCATGCCAGTACATCTCCAGGAGTGGTAAGAGCCATGAATCCTTCCTCCTAAGTCTATTTCTTTTGTCCCCTTTTTCTTTGGATTCAGGCTTTTGACAGTTCATCTGAATCCATATTGTCCTGCATTGTTGAACACCCTGGTTACACTAATCACTCTTCCTAGCCTATTCCTTAAACCTTCTTCCCCACCTCTTTTCAAAAGCTCTTGCCAGAAGAATGGGCTTTATTGAGAGGGAGACCTTCATTCATCTTTATCATTTACAGAGCCTTTCCTCTTGGAGTGGAGGGTCCAGATTTCTATGGAGTTAGTCCTTATAGTGCAGGATAAAGACATCTCTTTAAGAAGCTTAAGATCTTTAATTGCTAATACAATTTCAGGATGATAACTTTGGTGGTGATGATACCTTCAATTCAACAAGAGGGATTATTTCATGTCTCCTGATTTTGAACACACTTATTTCCATAAAGAGATTTTCCTGACTTATGTAACAGACCAGAAACACTACCAGTACAGCTTTGTTTTCCTGAAATTCTTTTCAGTTCAGAGCCTTCAGATATTTGTACCTCTAATGATAAATTAGTACAGCAATTCAGTTCTTTATGCATCTCACTTCCCTTTTTTGTCAGTTGTTTGATAATTCATATGCCAGACTTATGTAAAATGGAAATCTGTGAGGGCATTATAAAATGGGGAATTTCAAATCTGTGGTAAACTTGTTTTGCATTGGACACTAACAGAAGTAGAAACTTGCCCTTCCAGAACTTGTTTGGTCCTGAGTCCTTTATTCCCCATTTATGAGTCAGTTGCCTGTTGAACATCTTTTGTCCAATTCAGTTTTGTTTTAAAAAATGTGTCCAGAAGGTTAAGGCAAGATTATGTCAGGTTAGCATGGTCACAATCATTGGGATCTGAAGATCTGTGTTTTCTGTCAGTATAGAGCAGCATTTAGATCTTTGAGCTGTACTGCCAGAATTTGTATCCAAGCACACATAGCCCTTTATTTCCTCATAGCTTGGACAAGTTCACAGGCACAGAGCAGATTTAATCTGTCTTTGTGCAAGATGTTTTTCCTAGGTTTGGAAAAAGATAGAGAGCTAAGTGGATCAGGCTTTCAGCGAGCTGTGTGACTAGATTTCTGCTATCCACTGAGGTTCCACTCCTTCTTATTTTGAAATTTAAAAATTGGAAGGCACTAAGAGACTATCTGAGAGTAACTTAGTCCTTGCACCTTTGGAGAAGACTTGTTTTTTCTTCTGACTTGGGCAACTTTCAAACTTAGAGGGTTAGAATTCTATGAATGTCTCACTCACCTTTGTACAGTCAGGCCTTTATCTGGTTTTGGTGTATCATAGGGAAAGCCATTTGATTCTGGTCACCTTTTACTTGTGCCTTCAATGGTGACTAATACTTCTTCTGAAAAGTGTACAGAAATTCAAGATCGAATGTCAGAAGTACCACCTTTTTTCTGATTTTTTCTGAAAAATGGCTCTCTGCAAATCTGTTTCCTATTCCTTCCCCAAAGTTATACCTGAGTTTTCTCTAAATTGTCATACTGGGAAAGTATTTAAAAAAAAAAAAAGCTTTATTTCTGTTAACTTGCTCCATTCCTTTGTGGCTTAGAGGAAAATGTAAGTCTTTCCATAACCTTGTTTCATAGAAAAAGTTCCATTTAAAATACATTTAATTCATCTTCATTCCCTTAATTCTTCATGCAAATTACCAGCTAGCAATAATGGCTCAATATGTATGGATACAGCCTATTTTCTGCTTGTAGGATCCACAAATTATTTTGTTGTAGCTTTCAGCCTATTTATAGTGTATACTGATGATCTATTCTAGTCATCTGTGTTCCTCTATTTTGCTCATTTATCATTTTATGTTTTCCCTTGTATCTCACAACCTTAATGGAAATAAAAACTAATCAGGGTAATCTTCATCCACATCACCTACATTATGGGTCAAATGGCAGCCAGGAGTTACATGATTAGTAGTGGTCTGTGAAGCTGGGTATTACAGGAGTCAGTGCTTCATTCCTACACACCCTATTTTTCAGATTTCTCCTGTGTCCAGAGGAATCATCTCCTGTGGACTTGCTTTGATTTTTTTTTTTCATAGTTACTGCACCAGCTCCCTTTCTTTCTTGCAATAAAAATTGCAGACAAAGCAGTGTTGGCTCACATGGCAATTTACCATTGGTAATGAGTTTTGTTCAAAGGGCAAAGATTATTGACCATGCTTTTAATGCTTAGCAGAAAGCATTTTACTTATGTAAAGTGATAAAGTAATTGTGACCCATTTTTTAAACTGTGAAGTACATGTGAAATGGTCTAGCAGCTTTTTTTTTATTTTTAGAGAACATTTTAATTGTTATTTTTCTTTTGACGCATTTCTTTGATAAAAGTATAATGCCTTAACTGATGGCATTATTATTCAAATTGTTGTCTGTGCATTTAAGATGTTTAAG